CAGACTGTATAGATGCCAGCTCCTGTTCAGCGTTCACTCATTGCCTCGATGCTTCTGCACCCGTGAAGATTGGGGTTAGAATTGATCCTCAGTAACCCATGCTTGTCGTAAGAGGCGACTAACGGGATCGGGTGGTCAGGTTGGCTGACTTGGTTGACACATGTCATCGTATCCCACTTGCGGCGATCGATGCTCATATTGATGATCACTGGATTGTCTGGTCCAGACTCGATTATTTACAGACCGCCGCCATATTGCTGGGATTTTACTGAGTGCGGCAGGAAGCTCAGCAGGATTTCCAAATAAAGGCATTTTATATACGCTTCTATAGGGCTCTCAGTTGATCATATTTCATTAAAGTGAAATACTTTCTTTGATCGTTGTTTAACGCCGCTCTCAGTGATAATTATTCCAGCCATGTGGCGGCTGCCAGTGAATAATCCTGATAATCCAGTGATTGATGTTGTGAAGATCGATCCACGCCGTCACCGAGTTACCGATCCTGATCACAACATCACAACTGGGTGTGTCTCACAAGGAGGTGGGGAACATAGGCTCGGATTCCCCACGTGGTATACAGATATGGTAGGATTCAACACAGACCCAGTCCGGTTTTGTTTTGGTGTTCTAGGGTGTGTGCGTGGGTTATTTTTAACTTCTGTAATGTTTTGTCATTTTCTATTGTTTTCTATTGGTTTTTTATGCTGTTGTTGTTGTTTTGTTTGTTTGTGTGTGTTGTTGTTGTTGCTGTTTTGTCTGTGTGTGTTGTGTTGTTGTTGTGTTTTTCCTTAGTTTGACTTTTTAAGGGGGAGGGGTTGTTTGCTTTTTTGTATAATGTCAAAACTCTTCCATTTTTCTATTTTGGATTCCAACTCACGATCAACAATACTGTTACGACAGTTTCAAGCAAAATGAACCGTGTTTGAACACCCATGCTCCAGACAATCAAAGAGAATATTTGCTTACTCAAGTAAATACACCCAATACATCCCAGCAAAATGGTGCTCATATTTTTTTCCACGGTTGAGCAAACTCATCTTCCCCCTCCGACGACAATGACTGATGGAGTCTACACCAGAAGATATATGGTCAATGAAAGTGATGGTGATGTCGACACTGTATCCGAAGCCGGGCGGATTATTTCAGTATCTGTTACCAGTTGATGTCATGTTGAGAAAGAAAACCAATACTCTACAGTCGTGTGTTGGGGAGATATGTCAGGTGGTGCATTTCATCAATCATAATGGACATGTCATCAATCATAATGGACATTTTATCAATATTCAAGTTTGAGATGTTAAGCGAATTTGTTTTTGTTCGGTGCTGCAAAATCTAAACAATGGAACTTGTCCAACAATTTATATGCTTCCTGTAAATCAATAACCTGCTTTCTACTACTGGTATCTTCATTCTTGTACTTCCTGCAGCTGTACAGTGGGGGTTCTGCCGCAGATGCGGCCTAGAGGCTTATTTGTGGGAATTAACCCCCCCCAGCCCCCATTAAATACGGCGATGGTCTATCGAGAGCCATCCTTCGAAGTGCCTCCAGCCTAGACCCAAAGTTCCGAGCGTTGGACTCTTAATCCAGGGTTCACGAAAGGTATCCGTAATATTGAGCGACAACTTTGGGGATGGGGTCTGTCATAAACTCGTCCAAGTGGGCTACGGAGTAGGTAGAGTACGGGGCGGTGCATTCTCGGGTCTCGAAGCTATAATCAACTAACGTATCCATGAGGCGTTGTAACCATTCGGTGCCCACGAGACCTAAACTATCGTACAGGCTGGTGAATTTCCCTCGACTTATGACTCGACGCAGGGCTGAGTAAATATCGAGGCCATGGACGTCCACGCGCGTCTGAACAACCGTTTCTCGATCAGTCTCCAAATGCTGATAATGAGAGACATAAGACAAATCTATAATAAGGGGGCAATACCGTGTCGCGAGGGACGATCATCAATTCCTCTCGGACAAATCCCCTACCCAGTCCGTCTTGCAAGTAATACAGATTTGGTTCGTCGTCTTTGATATCCCCTCCGTCGATGCGGTACGTTTTCACGGACCATACGGTGTCTGTGGCACGACATTTATCCCCTCCTTACGGGTACTGGTACAGATACCTCACGGCAACCTGGTCCAGTAGTTTTTTTTCTTTTTGCCGTGACGCGATGGCGCAGCCGAATTAGTCGTCACAGATTTCATTCGAATGGCGAATGATGGGTCTTTTATCGAGGAGTCGAGTGACTTCGTTCTTGATCGCCAACACCACTCGCGGTAAGCGTACGACCCATTCCGTCGATCATTTTTCTGGGTTGGCCATCTCTCGGGCATACTGATGTCCTGTTGAATCTTTCGACGATGTCTTGGCTTCGGTGAGCTCCGGCCACGCCTCGTCTCACCTGGACTTTATTCTTCGATAACAGCTGCGACACGGCTCCCATGAACTCGCATCCAGGATCGACTTGTAATTTGGTCGGCCAGGTCAAGCGACTGCGTTTGTAGATACGTTCTAAGGCCTTAGCGACTTGACTCGAATCTTAATCTTGGTCGTTAACGGCTCCGCTTCCTTGTAGCGACTGGTAACATCCACGACGGTCTGGGCGTACTTGTATGTTTTGTTTCTCACCCTGTCGTGCAGGAGAAACAGGAGGTCGGCTTGATGGGTACGACTGGGTATGGAAATGTCAAACTTTCTTCTCAGGTTGTATCGGGGAGAGGGCAGGTACACTTGCCAGATGGCTTGTTTTTTAAGGCAAGCTTTGGCGGTATCCTCGGAAACTCTAGCGGCTTTGGCTAGCTTCGGGATGGCACTCACACCTTTCAAGTAACCCAGAGGGCTGTAGTAAACCTTCTCCATGATGTATACACGCTATCATTCATTCAATTGTCTCGACGCGTTGGGAGTTTCCTTTATTGGGGGTCTCGGAAACTCCCAACGCATCAAGGTCAACTGTTGGTACCCATAGCTATAAGTGTGGATGCCATCGTTCGCAATCCATCGCTTGGTATTAAGGGGCGACAGCGAGGTCTTGTTGAGAGTGATGCCGTAGATGTTGTGTTTGTCGCTTCTCAACGCGTTCATGGGGTCTAGACTACCTAACAGCATCGTGTTTGTATTTTATGAGACCTTGATTCGAGGTGAAAAGCCACCAAACGTGTTCGAAGCGAGCGATCTCATTTTCAATGTTTGAAGCGGAAGTGGAATGACGTCATAAAACTGGTTCCAGACATCTTTTGCGCTACTATAGATGGAGCCCGGTTTAAGAGGATGATGCAATTTCAGGATAGACCTGTTAAACCGAAATTTAGCTGTCAAGTCCCCGGTAGCGCAATCGGTTGAGTGGTGCGGGCTTATAATGTATAGTTGCGCAGCTATGCATTATGAGTTCGTATACCCGCCGTTGCCTCTGTGGATTCCTTGCAACTTTCGTTGGTGGTGATGGTGTTTCGGTAAGGAATCAGGATCACATCAGTTAGGTCTTTGAAAAGAGCCTAGCTGAGCAGGGCACTCTCATGGCGAGAGAAAGGCAGCCAACGCAATTCCCCTTGGGAAAAAAATGCGCAACCATCAATATTTCGATTTCACCCTTGGGGAATTGTGGCTGCCGGGGACATTTGCTACTTTTTTAACCTTTCTATCTTTCTTTTTTTATTTGCTCATTGAAGGATGGCTCTCGATAGACCATCGCCGTTTTTAATGGGGGCGGGGAGGCTTAATTCCCACAAAGAAGCCCCTAAGCCGCATCTGCGTCAGAACCCCCACTGTGCTACTACTGCTGAAATAATCTAAGATGTGTCTAAGAAGATGGAATATTAATTTTCCAGCACATATCTCAGCAAAGTGGTATTTTTGGTTATTAAGTTCAATGAAAGAACGAACGAATCTATAGCTGAGGATATCACCTTAGATATAAGTTCCTGTATTCACTTTGACATGTGAGAGAAGGCTTGATTTTGTTTAACTTTTAAAACAAAGTCAGTATTCTTGCTAGACAAGTACAATCGATGGGCCAGAAATACAAAAGTTATCTGCTATGGTCATAGCAAATTAATTTTGATATTTCCATAATCACCGGTAATCAGACCAAAATACATATGTTCCACGAAACTTGGAACATGAACCTATTAGCATCTCCTGGAAAGGTTAAGGAGCACAACTCTGCGCTGTGATAAAAATACCTACGTCACTGGAAAACATCCTACCCCTCACTGATAGGTTGTATAACATTAGCACTTCCTACCATGATGAGACAGTGAATGGATACTTATATAAGGCGGTGCACGAGTGGCCCAGTAGTCTTATGCACGTGAATCGTTCGTCAGAGTTGCTTCCCTTTGTTACACCAAAAACAGGTAGTCGCCCCGATAACGTTTCTGGCTTTTCCAGCACTTGTTGGCTTCATCTAAATAGTACAGTCTGAGACTTGCATTATTTCGGGCTTTTCCCGCGGTGATATAACTGGCTTACTGTGAAAACGGTGCTGATCCCAACTCACTCACTCACTCACTTTGAAATAGAAATGTGTATAAAGAAAATACTTACTGTATGATCAACATGTTTTATATATATATTTGTGTTACAAGAATACATTGAGGTATACAAAATATACACATATTGCACATTAAACGAGGATCATTAACCCGTTTCATATTAAATATACACCTATATACACTATTCCACATTTACTATTCTGTGACGGCCTCCGTGGTGTAGTGGTTAGAGCGTCCGCCCGGAGAGTGGAAGGTCGCGGGTTCGATCCCCGACCGCGTCATACCAAAAGACGTTAAAATATGGTACTTCTTGGTCCCTGCCTGGCGCTCGGCATTTATGGGTACAACAAGGACTGGTATCTCAGTGGGCTAGCACTATAAAACCAGCTTCAGTCTGGGCTAGTACAAGCAGCCGCACATACACATACGCACGCATGCACGTCGTCATATGAGCGAAATATTCTCCAGCACGACGTTAAACCAAATTTCAACTCAACTCAACTCAACTATCCTGTTCCTGTAGGGACTGAATGCCACTGACAGCTTGTCGCACCAAAAAAACAGTATTTGACATTTTCATGAGACGGATATTTGTGGTCATCTCTCCGAGACTCATTTCATTAGACCTCGGTGTCCTTATCAAAAGTTGAATATAATAGCCATCTGTGGGACAAGGTATGAAATCATTGATGATTTGAATATTAATGCTGACGTTTTGGGACTGACGGAAGCAATTAGAACCTCGTCAATCCGGACAAGCCCGACAGCAGTGGAAGCAATTAGAACCTTGTCAATTCGGACAAACCCGACCGAAGTCAAAGCAATTAGAACCTTGTCAATCTGGACAAGAACGACCGCAGTCGAAGCAATTAGAACCTTGTCAATCAGGAAGAGCCCGACCGAAGTCGAAGCAATTAGAACCTTGTCAATCCGGACAAGCCCGACCGCAGTCGAAGCAATTAGAACCTTGTCAATCCGGACAAGCCCGACCGCAGTCGAAGTAATTAGAATCTTGTCAGTTCGGACAAGCCCGACCGCAGTCGAAGCAATTAGAACCTTGTCAATCCGGACAAGCCCGACCGCAGTCGAAGCAATTAGAACATTGTCAATCCGGACAAGCCGACCGCAGGGGAAGCAAATAGAACCTCCGACAAGCCCGACCGCGGGGGAAATACGATCATCAATTGAGGCAGGATTATTATCCATTATGAACTACAGGAAATTTGAAAATAAAATGTTAAGAACAAAATCACAATCATCATTATCGGACGCCTGCCAAATCGTATTTTCTGACACTCTTTCGTCTTAAGTGTAATTTACCGATTGGTGCTAAGTCCAAAACATGAATAATCGAGTTATCCTTCATTTGTCTTATACCTTTCCGAGCAATATATATATGCCGGGCTCATTTATTGAATCAAGCAGATCCTGGGGGCCACAAAGGGTCCTCATCCTTGGTTGACCTTTCCCGCTAATGCATGTGACGTCATGTGTCTATCTTTAAACAACCAATACACTTTGCCGACGTTTAATGGAAAACATTGTAACATGCAACATGATTTAATCAGTCCAATTGGAAGTTTCATCAAATAGAGCTTTCATCACAAATCGTAGACAAATCGTAGATTGAGGTAATATCTCTATCAAAAATTTATTGTTGTACATTTGTAATATAAACGTGACTATAATCTCAGTATCCCGGTCTCTGTCGGAAGCCGTTCAATAATAACAGGTTCTCAATGGTTCATAAAATCCGGTTTAGGCGCGTCGGACCATTCGTAGACTTCCTTTACATTCTTGACATGAAAGTCAGTTTCATGTAACTTACTGCATTTCATGGCTTAACAATAACAAGTCAGAATAAAGCGCATTAACTGGCTACAAACATGTGTATCAATAGATAGTGAAATATGGAGTTAACATGCATCTAACCTTAATCATCACACAAAGACAACCTTGCAACCGTATGAAGCGGTTTTGTCACTAAAACTAACCCACGCCGTACGCTGATGAGTTCCGTACGTTGTCTAGTTGTATTTGCATTAACAAATCTTGACCCGCAACTTCCACATCAATGAACGAATTCAGCGGCCCTTGAGACACTTTATAACGAATAAGATATACTAAGTTTATCAGTACGTATTTCACATAAGATATTTTCTTACTGCACCATTTAAACACGTGTATGAGATACACCATCCTCTATATCTCGGGGGATGCAGTCTGATATAACTTCATAACCGCTGGATCCATTCCCCTGGATGGCAAATTACCCGACCTTGAGTTTCAACGTTAACCGACCAAGCAAACGTCGACGTAAGGGAGATAACTCGTAGCACCTATAAACCAAAGCCACCTTTATACATGTTTACAAAGCAGCTTTACTACTTTGTAAACATGTATAAACGTAGCAAACCTTTATGATGGGCAAGGTGTAAATGGGCCCAGTTGCCCGAACACCTATCAAACTTTCAATTATCCATCCAAAGCCACCACCAGTTTCAATGGACGATTCGGGACTAAACAGGCGATTCTTACAGTTTACGGAAAGCGGCGAGAGGTGACGAATGTCAGTTGTACGTGAAGCCATTCGTTCCATTAAAAAGGTCTTTGAGTGCACTTTCTTTTTAAATATTGAATTTCTCGCTAAATCCATCATTATCAATGGAAGGGGCCGCCACAATTAACCCTAGCCTGTAACTCGCATTCTGATTAGAACGATCAGAGACCATATAATCAAATTTATGGCCTCTGGAACGATAGACCTAGTAGCGTAGCCAGTAGCATTGGTAAATTGAAATCAAGAAACAGGATGTAAGTACATGGGACCACAATCAGTCTGTGAGATTTTAGTAACGCTTCAGTCAGTTGAACGTATTCGTGATTAATGTTCATTTGTCACCACTCGCCCTTTTCCGTAACCTCCGAGAAAACTCGTCCCCATTCGTCACCACTCGCCTCTTTCCGTGACCAGCTGACCTTGCCGGAATGACACGAGTAGTTACGAATGAGTACATTCAGCACTTATCGTTCCTTTCTGCAGGGATAATCTACGTCTTCTATTCTCCCTGCTTTCCGTAACCTGAAAGAAGATCCACTGTTGTAAAAGCCCCACTTCAGGATTAACATCAGGTAGTATGGCAGTTGGTATCTTTGACATTTATCTTCGTCACATCACTGTAACGGTCGTCATTTGACATGGAATCTGGAACTGACTACCATCCATGTTTCTCAGAGCCCACTCATCCGAATTTTCTTGAATTCACATAGAGTTATTGGTAGCTCTCCTTCCACTATTTCATGATGGTATTCCGCCATTTGCAGACTGGCCATTCTTCTGTGTTCCCTCTGGTTTAATGTAATGTAGCGCCAGTAGCCTGTCCTTCATCCACAGCGGGAGGATCCACAACACGCGGAACATGATGTTAGCGTCTCGACCCACAATGTAACGCGCACGTGGGAATCGTGCAGTCACCGCGTGCACGTAGGCCCTCGTGACCTGTGACAGGTCAGATGACGTCATGGAGTCGATATCGTGGCAATGTTTCAAAGCTGAAATCATAAACAATAGTGAGTAGGTGAATTATTTGGGTTAAATGCCGATTTAACAATATTCCAGTTATTTTAACTTAATATGGGAGGAAAACATGGTGTGATACAGGTTCTTAGAAGTAATTATAACTTTGATGAAGCACACTACTGGCAAACAAGGATAAGTTGAGCACCGGCTTGATCATTGACCCTTATTTGCATGTATGAGTGCCACCCACTGTCGCTTGCCATTGTTAGCGAAGGGGCCCCAGGTTGTCCGCGATCAAGTGTAGTGCGACTTGCTACACCGACATGAGAGTCTGATGAGCAAGGCGTGCAGCTACGCGCGGAATCAATTTCATCGTCATGTAATGCACGTGCACTAGCCTACATCTGCTCTACCTTTCACAAACCAAATGGGTTTGCTCACTGCTGTGTACCGCCTACGTCTCGTAAACGCGTTCTCTGCGCCGGTCCAACTTATCCTTGTTTACCAGTAAATATAGTGCTGACAAACCTAGAACCGGGTTCCTACCAACGATCACAGGTTTCTGGTGCGCCAAAGGGACGCAACTCCGCATAGAGAATTACGGCACCATAGACAACTGGTTGCACCGTCCCCTCCCCACAAGCAATAAAAGTCCGAACATGTGTTCACTTCTAAAGAGAATTCAAGGTCTGAATTTATTATATGCTAAGTATTAGGAGATCGTATTGTTATAAACCATGATTCGTTCATCCAGACATTTGGAGATTCGTTCAATTAGTCTGTGAACATGTTCGGATTTATTGGGTAAATACTCCTCCCCATAGAACGCCTGGACAGACATACCCTTCTCTAAATACTCCTCCCCATAGAACGCCTGGACAGACATACCCTTCTCTAAATACTCCTCCCCATAGAACCCCTGGACAAACATACCCTTCTCTAAATACTCCTCCCCATAGAACCCCTAGACAAACATACCCTTCTCTAAATACTCCTCCCCATAGAACCCCTGGACAGACATACCCTTCTCTAAATACTCCTCCCCATAGAACCCCTGGACAGACATACCCTTCTCTAAATACTCCTCCCCATAGAACGCCTGGACAGACATACCCTTCTCTAAATACTCCTCCCCATAGAACGCCTGGACAGACATACCCTTCTCTAAATACTCCTCCCCATAGAACGCCTGGACAGACATGCCCTTCTCTAAATACTCCTCCCCATAGAACGCCTGGACAGACATACCCTTCTCTAAATACTCCTCCCCATAGAACGCCTGGACAGACATGCCCTTCTCTAAATACTCTTCCCCATAGAACCCCTGGACAAACATACCCTTCTCTAAATACTCCTCCCCATAGAACCCCTGGACAAACATACCCTTCTCTAAATACTCCTCCCCATAGAACGTCTGGACATCTTGGTGGGCGTGTCTGAAGCTCTGCTTGTATTTGACCACCATCGTCTCCACTGGTAGAAAGTTGGTTCTGTAGAAGCCTGGTTGAAGAACGATAACAGACACTCCCTGACGGAACAGCTCAAGCCTGGAGAGGACGAGTGAGTGAGTGAGCGCGTGAGTAGACGAACGAGTGAGTGAGGTAGTGAGTGGGTGGACGAAAGAGTGAGTGGGTGGACGAGTTTGTGGACGAGTGAGTGAATGAGTGAACGAGAGAGTGAGTGGACGTGTAAGAGAATGGATGAGAGAGTGAGTGGACGTGTGAGTTGGTGGACGAGTGAGTGAATGAGTGAACGAGTGAGTGAGTGGACGTGTGAGTGGGTGGACGAGTGAGTGAGTGGACGAGTGAGTGGGTGGACGAGCGAGTGAGTGAGTGGACGAGTGAGTGAGTAGACGTGTGAGTGAGTGGACGTGTGAGTGGGTGAACGAGTGAGTGAGTAGACGTGTGAGTGAGTGGACGTGTGAGTGAATGAGTGGACGAGGGAGTGAGTGGACGTGTGAGTGGGTGGACGTGTGAGTGGGTGGACGTGTGAGTGAGTGGACGTGTGAGTGGTAGACGAGTGAGTGAATGAGTGGACGAGGGAGTGAGTGGACGTGTGAGTGGGTGGACGAGTGAGTGAGTAGACGTGTGAGTGGATGGACGAGTGAGTGAATGAGGAAGTGAGTGGACGTGTGAGTGGGTGGACGAGTGAGTGAGTGGACGTGTGAGTGGGTGTACGAGTGAGTGAGTGGACGTGTGAGTGGATGGACGAGTGAGTGAATGAGGGAGTGAGTGTACGTGTGAGTGGGTGGACGAGTGAGTGGGTGGACGTGTGAGTGGGTGGACGTGTGAGTGAGTAGACGTGTGAGTGGGTGCACGTGTGAGTGAGTAGACGTGTGAGTGGGTGGACGAGTGAGTGGACGAGTGAACTAGGGAGTGAGTGGACGAGTGAGTGGGTGGACGAGTGAATGAGTAGACGTGTAAATGAGTGAGGAGACGAGTGAGTGAGTGAGGGGACGAGTGAATGAGCGAGTTGGGTGTACACTCATAACATTGTTTCGGTTTTATCAATCGGTAAATGAAACACACTCATACATAATTCTTGAAATATGTAACATTCTCAAAGATGTTTTCAGATCTTTATAAGGAAAATTGTTCTGTCATCATCAACACATCAGTTACAATGATATAGTTGCCTTGATCTTTGAATCGTTGAGTCTACGATAGTGATACTGTTATTGCTATGTAAACCATGACAATTGGACTTGTTATTGATTTGCAAAAGCCCACTTGCACAAAGCGGTCACAGCATAAGACCGTCTTCAGTCCATGTTAGAGTGTGGGAGTTACTATCATCGTAGTGCTAAGGTCGCTTTGTGTAGGTGGGCCGAGGTTGGTTTATGAAAAACGTGCTGACAGACACCTTTATGAAAACGCCTAAAACTTATGTCCCTTTTGAAAAGATATACAAGAAGTGTAAAGACTGAAACCACGTCTGTATAATGTTATTCTACATACTGAGGTGAGGTGAGGTGAAATTGGGTTTATCGTCGTGCTTGAGAATATTTCGCTCATATGACGACATGCATGCGTGGGTATGTGTATGTGCGGCTGCTTGTACTAGCCCAGACTGAAGCTGGCTTTATAGTGCTAGCCAACTGAGATACCATGCCGCAGTGAAGCATGAATACCCCACTCAGACACATTATACTGACTCCGAGCCGACCAGTCCTTGTTGTACCCATTAATGCTGAGCGCCAGGCAGGGACCAACAAGTACCATATTTTAACGTCTTTTGGTATGACGCGGTCGGGGATCGAACCCACGATCTTCCGCTCTCCGGGCGGACGCTCTAACCACTACACCACGAAGCGGCTTCTACATACTGAATGGCCACAAGGTCTTGGTACATGTATTGCAATAAATATTCTGATGCGTCACTCGGCAATCTCCAGAGCAATAGTCACTCTGCTGAACATTTCCTTAGGGCGGAGTCCAGGCTACGAATCCGACTATATCACGAGTTTCTGAATTAATATAGCATAGTGAAGACACCGGGTGTTCGCAGAATGTAAGCGTATCCTGCCCATCAGTGACGAACGTCCCAAACACATGCGCCGTGTGCCTGTTTATAAATGCACCATTTATGCTTGGCATTTCAGTATTGAAAATGAAAAGCGACGTCCTCAAAACGATTTCACGGGTAAGAGTGAGTGAGTTTAGTTTTACACCGCTGTCAGCAATATTCCAGCCATATCACGACGGGGAACACCAGAAATGGGCTTCACGCATTCACCCATGTGGGGAATCGAACCCGGGTCTTCAGCGAGACGAGCGAACGCTTTAACACAAGACTGCCCCGCCGCCCCTTCACAGGTAAGGGATGAGTCTCAATTATATGTTTCCAATTAGAAAATATCATTAACTCACCTGAGACAGTCGGAAAATCCTTCCACTGCGTATTTCGATACCACATATGGTGATGGCCCCATACCAACTTTGGTCAGAATACTCGACATGTTGACAACTCGACCTTGACCTTCACGCAACAGTGGTAGAAACGACCTTGTGATGTCAACGAGACCGAGAAGATTGACGTCAAGTGCGCTTGCGTAATCTTGTCGCTCCAGCCAATCAACGGGTCCGAGAGAGGCAGCTGTGCCGGCGTTGTTGATGAGTGCCCATAGACCTGGATATATTTATAGTCAGTGAATGAGTGAGTGAGTCGTTTCACGGCATTTTCACAGTATATATCGATATGACAGAGTATCAGCATGGTGCAGGACTTAAAGTGTCACTGTACTGAAACAAAGGGTCATTATCAGGACGATTATCTGATTATAACCAAAGATAATTTAATTCTGGTGCAATGGGACTAAACTGTAAAGGGTGGCTACCCTTCAACATCATAAGGTCCGTTCGTCATCGCAAAGGTCCGTGTTCGATTCCCTACATCTGTGTCCTCGCCGTTACTGGTGGAACATTGCATAAAACTGCAGAACAAAACCACTCACTAACTCTTTCTACTTCAAGGTGAAACTGCTCAAACCCAACTCAATCACTTACTCCTGTTAAAAGAACCTGACAAGTTACGTTACGTTACGTAGTATTACACCGCTTTTGGCAATATTCATGCAATATCACGTACAGCAGGGGGCACCAGAAATGGGCTTCACACATTGTACCCACGTTGGGAACTGAATCGGGGTATTCAGTGTGATGAGCGAACGCTTTAATCACTGGGCTACCCCGCCTTCCCTTCAACTATTGAATAAGTTGTTGTCAGTCGGGAAGCAAACACATACTAGTAATATATTGTTTTATCTGACGTTCCAGGCGGCGGGGTAGCCTAGTGGGTAAAGCGTTCGCTCGCCACGCCAAAGACCCGGGTTCGATTCCCCACATTGGTTTAATGTGTGTAGCCCATTTCTGGTGTCCCTCGCCGTGATATTGCTGGAATTTTGCTAATAGGCGTAAAACCAAAGTCACTCACTCACTCACTCACCTGTACCATCAGGAATCCTTGACTTGACAAACTCCACAGCACTGCGTATACTGCTCTCATCAGCAATTTCCAGCTTTAAGGTCACAAGTCGCTTTGACGTCGCGGCGTTGAGTTCATCTACACCGTTATCGCTATGGCAGGCAGCAAACACGTTGAAGCCAAGAGAGTCAAGACGTTTGGCCAGAAGGTTCCCAAAGCCACTGTTGCAGCCGGTTATCAGAACATATCTGTCACCATAGTTGCCCACAGTCTGTTTCCCTATCAACCACTTGGTAAACATCGTTACCATGACGATACACGCGGAAAGGACGACCCAGAGAATCATGTCTGATCTGTGTCACAGAAAAGAAAAGAAAACACTAGGTTAAATACCATTCCAGGAAATATTCACAGGAAAATACGAACAATGAAATAAACTAGAGTTTCTAGTGATCCGATATCTGTGACAAATCTGCATCTGCTGTCTAGACTCTCTAACGGCATTGTACTTGTATCCAGTCTGTATCTAGATTTCCAAGGGTTGAGCTACTATCCCGTCTATGTACCCGTCTATGTACCCGTCTGTGTACCCGTCTGTGTACCGGTATCAAGTACCCTTCTTGACACTGCCATTGTCCAGTCTTACGATCCACAATCCAGTATTGAGGTCAAAGCACGTGTCAATATTGTTTTGAGTATTGAGCTTCAAAGGAATATTTGTAATCCCCACCCACAGAGTTAGTCCGAGTCACCATATGTTGGTGTGAAACTAATACTTACGAGAACAATATGAACGTAGAAGCAGATAGACAATGACCTGGGAGTAATCCAGTACGCCTTATGTGAGTTTCCCTGCCTTGCTTATCAGTACATGGTTTCACCTTAGTGTTGTAACGCCTGTTGTTATGCCCGTTGTAGTGTATGTTGTAGTGCCCGTTGTAGTGTCTGTTGTAGTGTCTGTTGTAGTGTCTGTTGTAGTGCCTGTTGTAGTGCCTGTTGTAGTGTCATGTTGTAGTGCCTATTGTAATGCCTGTTAGTGTCTGTTAGTGTCTGTTGTAGTGCTTGTTGTAGTGCATGTTATAGTGTCTGTTGTAGTGTCTGTTGTAGTGCCTGTTGTAGTGTCTGTTGTAGTGCCTGTTGTAGTGTCTGTTGTAGTGTCTGTTGTAGTGCCTGTTGTAGTGTCCTAGTGCCTGTTATAGTGCCTGTTGTAGTGTCTGTTGTAGTGCCTGTTGTAGTGCCTGTTATAGTGCCTGTTATAGTGTCTGTTGTAGTGCCTGTTGTAGTGTCTGTTGTAGTGCCTGTTATAGTGCCTGTTGTAGTGCCTGTTATAGTGCCTGTTGTAGTGTTGTTGTAGTGCCTGTTGTAGTGCCTGTTGTAGTGCTGTTGTAGTGTCTGTTGTAGTGCCTGTTGTAGTGCCTAGTGTCTGTTGTAGTGCCTGTTGTAGTGCCTGTTGTAGTGTCTGTTGTAGTGCCTGTTGTAGTGCCTGTTATAGTGTCTGTTGTAGTGTAGTGTAGTGCCTGTTATAGTGTCTGTTGTAGTGCCTGTTATAGTGTCTGCCTGTTGTAGTGCCCGTTATAGTGTGCCCTGTTGTAGTTGTAGGGTCTGCCTGTTATAGTGCCTGTTGTAGTGCCTGTTGTAGTGCCTGTTGTAGTGTGTTGTAGTTATAGTCTGTTGTGTCTGTTGTGTGCCTGTTGTAGTGCCTGTTGTAGTGTCTGTTATAGTGCCCCCTGTTGTAGTGCCTGTTGTAGTGTCTGTTGTTGTCTGTTATAGTGTCTGTTGTAGTGTCTGTTGTAGTGTCTGTTAGTAGCCTGTAGTAGTGTCTGTTGTGCCTGTTATAGTGCCTGTTGTAGTGCCTGTTGTAGTGTCTGTTGTAGTGTCTGTTGTAGTGTCTGTTCGTAGTGTCTGTTGTAGTGTCTGTTGTAGTGTCTGTTGTAGTGTCTGTTGTAGTGTCTGTTGTAGTGTCTGTTGTAGTGCCTGTTGTAGTGTCTGTTGTAGTGTCTGTTGTAGTGTCTGTTGTAGTGCCTGTTGTGTGCTGTGTGTGTTGTGTGCCTGTTGTAGTGCCTGTTGTAGTGCTGTTGTAGTGCCTGTTGTAGTGTCTGTTGTAGTGTCTGTTGTAGTGCCTGTTATAGTGTCTGTTGTAGTGCCTGTTGTAGTGTCTGTTGTAGTGACTGTTGTAGTGTCTGTTGTAGTGTCTGTTGTAGTGCCTGTTGTAGTGCCTGTTAAGTGTCTGTTGTAGTGTCTGTTCTAGTGCCTGTTGTAGTGTCTGTTGTAGTGCCTGTTGTTGTAGTGCCTGTTGTAGTGTCTGTTGTAGTGCCTAGTGTTATAGTGTCTTAGTGCCCTGTTGTTGTTGTAGTGTGTTGTAGTGCCTTATGTTGTAGTGTCTGTTGTAGTGTTGTAGTGCCTGTTGTAGTGTCTGTTGCTAGTGTCTGTTGTAGTGCCTGTTGTAGTGCCTGTGTTGTAGTGTCTGTTGTGCCTGTTGCCTGTTGTAGTGTGTTGTTTGTAAATGCTGTTGTAGTGTCTGTTGTAGTGTCTGTTGTAGTGTCTGTTGTAGTGCCTGTTGTAGTGTCTGTTGTAGTGCCTGTTGTAGTGTCTGTTGTAGTGTCTGTTGTAGTGCCTGTTGTAGTGCCTGTTGTAGTGTCTGTTGTAGTGTCTGTTGTAGTGTCTGTTCTAGTGTCTGTTGTAGTGTGTTGTTGTAAAGTGTCTGTTGTAGTGCCTGTGTTGTAGTGTCTGTTGTAGTGTCTGTTCTAGTGTTTGTCGTAGTGTATGTTGTAGTGCCTGTTGTTGTGTAGTGCCTGTTGTAGTGTCTGTTGTAGTGTCTGTTGTAGTGTTTGTCTCAATGTCTGTTGTAGTTAGTGTCTGTTGTCGTGTCTGTTCTAGTGTTTGTCTCAATGTCTGTTGTAGTGTCTGTTGTAGTGCCTGTTGCAGTGCCTGTTATAGTGCCTGTTGCAGTGTCTGTTATAGTGCCTGAAATAGTGCCTGTTATAGTGCCTGTAGTAGTGCCTGTAGTAGTGTCTGTTGTAGTGTCTGTTGTAATGTATGTTGTAGTGCCTGTTGTAGTGCCCTAATAGCTGATGTCTCCAGAAAGCGCATAGTTTTGTGCCTGTTCAGACTCTCCACGGTTACAAAGATTTTGTTCAAGTGAGTCATGCTGGCAGGCTTTGAAATCAGGAATCTGCTTGTCTGTACCAAACAACCACCTGTATATACCAGGTAGTAATTACGAGGCTACGTATCAAGTCCGTTTATCTACTCCTCTTATGTCAAGTAAGCAAACGTTTGGTTCAAACTCAAAAACACCTGATTTACGTCACTATGTTAAGTGGCACATTTGGAATTTCGCCATTAGACCATCAGTGCAGAACACGACATCCAGGCCTTTACTCGCTACCATCCGCGGACCCGTAAAGCGGAGGCACACCAAAGGCGCTTATTTACGTTGTTATTTTAGAGAATAAGTTAAAACTAAACTCAACTAGAAAACGAATCCCTCAGCTCTACAATGTAAACACACGTGAAGATCCGGGTTAGAATTGATCTTCAGCATTCCATGCTTGTTGTAAGAGACAACTAACCGGATCGGGTGGTCAGGCTCACTGATTAGTTTATACATGTCATCATAGCCCAATGTCGTACCTCGATGCTCATGATGTTGATCACTGGATTGTCTAGCGTCGATAATTTTCAGACCGCTGGCGTATAGCTGGAATATTGCTGATTTGCGGCGTTCAACAACAAACAAACAAAAAACCCTATGCTGATGGGGAAATAACAATATTTATACACAGAGTGACGTCACCGAGCCAATATATATTCCTTCTGTAAATATATTCATCATATAAAGGCTGGCATTGTGAATACGATCAACCAATCCAATAAACTTGGTATTACGATCTGATAATTGGAAAGAAATGGGCTTTACACATTGCAACATGTGGGGAATCGAACCCGGCTTTTCGCCGTGACGAGCAAACGATTTAACCACTAGGCTACCCCACTGCCCCGATAATTATGCAAATGAGGCCACCAAACAGGAACTTCTTTTAAACTCGATACACTACTGCGAGGCCATCTGTCTCAATAAACTATTGACTTTCATTCCCAATATATTTAGATAGTTGTTTCCTAATCTGTGGTTGGGACTTGTCTGCAAGTCTTTTGACACTCTTTAAGAAGAAAATGAGCAGGCTAGTCAAACGCTTCACGTGGTTGTACATCGTGTATAAAGGAATATCGTGGCGTTTTTTGCCATATGTAGGCCTACCCACCATACTATTCATCATAATACATGACCCACTTCTAAGAAAGATCATATAATCAGGTAGACAGGTACATTTACCTGTGCAATCAATTACAAAAGTTCACGGTCACACATGTACTTACTAAGTGAGTTGGATAAGCAGGGGCGGATACAGCTTTTTGAGAAAGGGGGGATGCACACTATTGAAAAAGGGAGGGTGCACACTTCATTTTCACCAGAGTTTCGATGGTCATTTAATAAACTTTCAGGGCAAAAGTGGGGTGCGCACCCCTGCACACACACACACACACCTACACCTACACACACACACCTCTGTATCCGCCTATGGCTAAATATATCTCATTGTCCTACACATATACAAACAAAACTATTATATGAGGATTTTAGGACTATAAATATGCCTGTATTAAAATATAACAGGTTAACATCTAACAGTGTTCACACCACAAGATCGACACGGTTCATGTAGTGAACATTATTAAATTTACTTATTTTCCCTCTTCTATTTTCCACTTATTGCTTGGTCCAGAGTAGATTTACTAAAGTTACCTGGTAAATTCACAAATCAACTAGTGCTGTTTGGATAAGACAAAATACAAACCAGTCTCCACAACTGCCCAAACATATCATTATGACCAGATAAAGGGCGAATATTATGAAATAAAGACTGCCATATGAAAGTAGGGCAAGCTTATCTATGGATTTCTGGTGACAGCGGTTAACCGCCGACATGGTCTAGTTAGAGTGACTTCCCCTTGTTGATTACGCAACAGGTTGTGCAATAAGACTGCGAAATCGGCATTTTGTATAAATAGTTATGATGTGTCATCATCACGTGAGACATTGCTGACGAAGCAGTGTCCTGCGAAGGTATAAAAGGCGTCAGGTAAGTGAGATAACTTTAGTATTGCCATTCCAAACCGAGAGAAGTTGTTATCGGGCGGTGTTCCTGGTAGCAATCATTTCGGGGTGATACTCGAGGAAAATGGCGACTGTGGCGCCCCCGTGGTTTCCTGATGACAACTACATGAACTGGATCTAAAGCTTACTTCGTCTTTGGGATGCTTCCATGCATTCTAAACAGAACCCTGTGACCTAGTCACAACCCTGGTCCGAGGTGTGACACCCCAATAGCGTCCGTGCAATAACCCTCCGGGGTGCTAGACGGAAGGGGGTGGAGCGCCGAGGGCCCCTTCTGTCACAGGACTTGTGGGTGTAGTGTGTTGCCATCCTCACCTCATACTTGTGACTGACGGGGCCGTTTTGTCAACGAAACTTTACCGAGAAACAGCAAGGACAAGCAGACGGCCTCTTCGTATCGGGCAGGAGTGTGGTATGTTGTTAATTGCACGATTTCGTTTGTGGATTCACGGTTTCAGCAGCAAAATTAGTAGCAGCAGTTTGTTGTAGTAAAGTAGTAGTGGCAGCAGTAGTAGTAGTAGTAGCTAATTCAGTAGTAGTAGTAGTAGTAGTAGTAGTAGTAATAGTAGTAGTAGTAAAAGTAGTAGTAGTAGTAGTAGTAGTAGTAGTAGTGCAGGGCTGCAGATAAGGGCCGTATCGGCGTATGTACGGATAAATAATATGCACGATACGGTAGGAAATATTTTGGAAAACGTAGCAGATACGCACCACAGCAATGGCGTACGGTCTTAGAATCATTTACAGACGTATTTATCGGATACAAAGTATTGTTTCATTGTTAATTGACCTGTTTACACAAGAGTATCAATGTTGTGGTGCACATATGAAACGAAACACAAGATTACTGATACGCCATTAAATTCCATTCAGTACTCTAAATGTGCTCTTAAGTTTTTCCAGTACTCTTATATTGGAAGGAGTAAGTACTCCTGATGTTGAAAAATTATCTGGAGCCCTGGTAGTGTATTGATGGTATGTTGATGGATTGCATTATTTCGCCTTTAACAACCCAGACAGCAGTTATACAGCTATTGTCATACAAGTAGTGTTCTTTTATATATTTACACACAACGTCGCATATTATTTAAGCTATATGGCGACTGTCAGTAATTAATCGGACCTAACAATCCAGTGATTGCTGTTATGAGCATCGATTTACGTAATTGGGATACGATTACATGTGTTCAAAAAAGTTTTGATTGATTGATTTGTGTTAACCAAGTCGGCGAGGCCGACCACGTTTACGACAATCATGGTTGCTGAAGATCAATTCCAACCCTGATCTTCATGGGTTTAGTAGTAGTAGTAGTGGTAGTGGTAGTGGTAGTAGTAGTAGTAGTAGTAGTAGTAGTAGTAGTAGTGGTAGTAGTAGTAGTAGTAGTGGTAGTGGTGGTGGTAGTAGTAGTAGTAGTAGTAGTGGTAGTGGTAGTAGTAGTAGTGGTAGTAGTAGTAGTAGTAGTAGTAGTAGTAGTGGTAGTAGTAGTAGTAGTAGTGGTAGTAGTAGTAGTAGTAGTGGTAGTAGTAGTAGTAGTAGTGGTAGTAGTAGTAGTAGTAGTAGTGGTAGTAGTAGTGGTAGTAGTGGTAGTAGTAGTAGTAGTAGTAGTAGTAGTAGTGGTAGTAGTAGTAGTAGTAGTAGTAGTAGTAGTAGTAGTGGTAGTAGTAGTAGTGGTAGTAGTAGTGGTGGTGGTGGTGACGACGACATTGAGGAGCAACTAAGGGTAAGAATCATGATAACGCCATCCTCAAAAGAGCGTTAGATGTATTTCGTTATAGTGTTTCCCATCTCCAGCCTAAAGCAACAAGATAGGGATTGGGCGAAAAGAAAATACATTTTAGTGAGCATTTGACACTAATTGTGTAAATTATTCTGTTTAATTTTAAAAAATTTAATCTATCGAGTTGCTTTGCTTCGAAAACAATATCTTAAGTTAACTTAAGTGATGAAAGATCAAGCTGACCTGTATTTTTATGAATATGTAAGGGTAACAGTATTTTTAGTCACATATTTCAGATATCACATGAGGGCATACATTTCCACAGCGGCAGAGGAGATATGCAATTCACAGAGATTGATCAACGTTTTAAATCACTAAAATATATTAACGTTGAATGTGACGCTATGAATACTTTATTTACAAAACTGAAGAGAGTAGCACGACACGTTGACAACAACCCCTATTCGGTCGAAAGAGGGACCACATTGTGCAGAATCACAAGCCTGACACTGAGAAGTATGAACGTAGGTTTGAAGCTTACTACAATATGGGGTTGATGCGCTACATCCCGATATCAAATTTTAAAGATTAGACTCATAGTGACGCAAAACAATTATGTACCAAAGCCTGTTTGTCTCCCCTCGCCGCCATCTTTGACGATTTTTATGCCGTTTCGGGATGCTATGACTGCCGTTTTCGGGTGCTATGACTGCCGTTTTGTACGCTCGGCGACCGTTCTCGGGCGCTGTTGTAGCTGATAAGCGAGTTTTGTTTCCATTTCAAACGATTGGTTTTCCATTACAGATGCGTTTGTTTCGGTTTTAGTCTGTCGTACAGACCCTGAATCAAATACATCCAAGAAAGCCCACGGAAGTCTAGAAACTGTGGAAAGTCTAGATTTCCGGAGCTTTCTGAAAATGAAGAAAGTCCCTGGGCTCCTTTTTATTGTATTTACAATTTTAATTTAAAAACTTTTATTTTCTTAAAAATATGTTCATTTCAGAGACTAGCTGTTAGTCTATTTCGGGTTTAGAGGACATTGTTGCAGTTTTGGAAGTTTATTGTCCTATTTTGGTGATTTTTGTTCTGTTTTGGTTTATATAGTTCAGTTTTGAAGATTTGTTCACCGTTTGTATGGTAGGCCTGATAATGCAAAAAACATGAGCACACAGAGTAATGATTGTGATGATGATTAGCGCGTTTATACATAGGTGAGAGTGAGTGAGTTTAGTTTTACGCCGCACTCAGCAATATTCTTATACATAGGTAGACAGATCGGCCTACGCTCAGCTCACCAGGGAGTATTTTCTTAAACTGTTAAAAAGGGACTGCATTCATATTTCAACATTTCTGGTGCCCCCCGCCGTGATATTGCAGGAATATTGCTAACAGCGGCGTAAAACCCAACTCACTCACTCATATTTCAATATCATCCAACCGCCTGTACGAACACACGAAAACCATGCACTGCCTTCGCATACCTGCAAACTCTCACGCGTTTATTTCTCATGTCACACTCCTACAACAATGCTGATAAATCTCACGCCAAACTGGGTCATATGAAAAAATATAATAAAAATCACACAATTAGGTCTGAATACATCGTTTTCAGTGACTTTGCTGAGAAGGGAATTGGCAATTATTGGCCGCGACCCTTGGAGCCTGGCATTCTAAGCTTTGGGGCGGGGGTGTTGCCTTCGTGGTTAAGTGGACAGAGCATCTACCCGAGAGCGAAATGTTGGGCGTTCCACGCCCAGCTGCGTCAGACAAAAAACCGGTAAACGATGTTACCTGTTGTTACCCTACCCTGTGCTCAGCATTAAGGTGATGAATGGATATCTTGCTGGCCCGAAGACGATATACTCTCTGTATATGTATCATGTTATACTGCAGGCTGGTATCTCAGTGGACTGGCGGTATTTAACCCGCATAGTCCGGACTGGTACTTACAGATACTCTAACACGCATCCCGAATGAACTCTTCTACAGGCCAGAGGTGCAGACACACATTGCCGACTCCAAGATAACGTATTTTGTAAGAAGGGTATTTTCAGAACGTGGAACGATAACTTGGAATGCAACCAAAACAAGAAACTTGAATTCTGCTCCAATAAATTCCTTTCAATGAGACAGAATCGCAGATAAACTATATTTATCTTCGCAACGGTAAAGTATTTTGTACACTTATCCACGTGACTGTTATGTTTGTTTACATTGTGGTTTTCTGTTCGACTTGGCGGCTGTCCAAATAGGTCAGGAATGGAAGTGATTTAACTTTCGCCTGACACAGTGACCCTGTTTAAGGGCTGGTTGGTAACATGTTGTTTTGATTCTGAAGTTTACATTTATTTGTTCGTCTCAAGGGTTGACGACATATCTAAAGTCTTCGACTATATGGCAGTGTCAATTCAGTGAAGACATTTTATTGTAAGGAGTGAGTGAGTTAAGATTTATAGTCACATTGGTAGTACTTCAGCCATATCGTGACTTAAAAAGTTGGGGGAGGGTTAAACAAATTCACTTCAGTTGCATAAAAAAATCAATTTTGCGAGCCTTAAAGTGAGAGACAGCATGCATAGGAAGGCACACTTACATATTCAATTACATTATGTGCTGGGAATAGAAGAGTATATGCAAGATCGTGGTATCACAATGAAATGAAAGTACTGCATCACCGTAACTTAAAAAGATATTATTTGATAATAAATGGAATCAAGTTACAACAACCTGACAGTAAAATAACCAGATTATCACAGAGAGAAACGTAAAACCAGTAATTATGTCTAATACGTTTTAACTATAGAGGACAACACAATATAAAAGCAGGCTATATATTGCCAACAACTGAAGGTAGGTCACCATACAAGGGACCATGGGACTTACAGTACATTTGCTTCCTGCGTGAACCCTAGCTGGATTTACACCATCCCTTCAGCTGTTAGCAATTTAGACAAATCTAGCCATACATACACAGAAAAGTTTGTTGCCAGTAAGAATCAAAACATATTACAATTTGACAGAAAATGGTCATCTCTACTGCACACATTCCCAGCTAAATGAAGATTCCAATATGTGTAATACCAACCCATATGAATTTCTGTTTTACGGTGTACAAGTGTTGTTGCATCATGTACTTTGTATATTTGTATCTATCTAAAAAAAAATAATCTAGCTATACATTAAAACCACACATATTCTGCGATTAAATAAAGGCCGGATAGATTAAATTGACTTGAATGCTTTGGGACTTACGT